TATGTGAAATTAAAAAAACAAACAAAAACCAAACAGCAAAGCAGAAGTCGTCACGGTATTTTTTGTATTGTTTCTTCCACTCAGAACGTGTTATGCTTGCTGAGATCAAGCAAGCAAATCTAAGTGCGTTAAAGTCCTGACCATATTTTCGGTTTTGCCGTTTTGAATGGCACTGCAAGTATACAAATTCGCCCGGATCTGTAAAGAAAAGAAGAAAAGCAGTACAAATCTGGGGCATGTCTGATGTCAGATACAAAGAAAAATTATTAAAGAGTCCAGTGGGAGCAAAAGGAGCGCAATTTTCCTTATTATGCGGAGTTTGGCGGAAACGTCTCACAATTTAAATTCCAGCGGCGGTCTTACGCATGGAAATGCAACCTGTCAAACTGGAAAACTTTTTGGTGTTTATGTTGTCTAAAGGAATGTCCTAAAAGCCACGCCCCAAACACAACTGTTTCCCTGTAAGTCTAACACACCGACAGATGTGGGCGCTCCGTCGTTGGAAAGCGACAGCAGAAGAGTTGCGGACCCGCAGGTACGTAGTTGGTCCACTTTTACGTATGGGAGATCGGGAAAAAGGAAGGCTTCCTGAATAAAGATACGCAGAGTAGATTACAGAGTATATTTGAAGAGCTTATCTGAGCACAGTCCAAGCTGCAGTCAGGCACAGAAACTTTAGTTTAAACCCCTCTTGTAGCTTGTAATCCGTCTTATCAAACTCCAGACGCTTCTGACTGGGCACAATTATGAAAAGCGAAAATTGGCGTTTTGGCGTTTAAAATGACGTTGTTTCATTAAGGCTACATTTAGACGATTTGAGTAAGTTTCCAAAACTAATAATAATAATAATAATAATAATAATAATAATAATAATAATAATAATAACAAAAGAAGAAGAAAAATAACTATAGCTATTAGGTTAAAACGCAAACTGTCAGCACGCTGAGTACATACCTCAGGAGCAGATTATGTTCAGACTTGCGGTTTAAAATCGACCAGAAGCGCCAGTTTTACTGATTTATTTATTTACTATGTGTGGTAATAGCATGTTTTAAGCGCAGCACAGTAGAACATCCAGCGATAAAGTAATTAACTGGAATTAAAATATTTATTTTACCGGTCTGTAGGAGAAGTCCCAAGACTAACGGCAGCAGTAATCTCTTGTCTTGTTTCTATGAAGGGAAATACGTTTGTTAAATGTGGGAGCTTGCAGAATCAAAAAAAGAAAGAAAGAAATGCGAACTTTTATTTTGAAACTTTTACTTTTAAACATATTTTACATGCTTGTGTGTTTGTTTGTTTGTTTGTTTTTAATTTGCAGTTACTGAAAAAAAATATTCATAAATGTCTAGGTTGATACTTTCACAAATATACTGAGAGCTGCAAACTTGTGATTTGAATATTAATCATTTTTATTTCCCTTTTTACTACTTACAACCACCTCCCAAATCACAAATTCACACATTGACTTTTGACTTTGGCAACACTTCTTGCAAGGAAAGTTTTGCAAAACTCAAACTAATAGCAGCATTCATTAAGTTCTTTTAAATGTGTCTCAGAAATAGGCGATAAACAAAAAAAGCGTCACGTTTCATTAAAAGACCCATCAGACATCTGATGTCTGTGAAGGTTCTCAGTC